AAAACCCGCTATGGGGCCCCAGGAGTAGGAGAAGAGGAGCAAAAAGGCTCCTGGTGCGAGACGCTTCAACTGCTTGGTAACAAAATGTCTTTTTTTTTTTTTTTTTTTTTAAGATTTTATTTATTTGACAGACAGAGATCACAAGTAGGCAGAGAGAGAGGGGAAAGTAGGCTCCCTGTTGAGCAGAGAGCCCGATGCGGGGCTCAATCCCAGGACCCTGAGATCGTGACCTGAGGCGAAAGCAGAGGCTTTAACCTACTGAGCCACCCAGGCGCCCCACAAGATGTCTTTTTAAATAGTTAAATTTCCAGGAATAAAATGAGCCACTCCTCACCCCCTTCTTAAGACAGGTAGTGGAGACACTTGGTCTAGAGTGAAGTAGGAATAAAAGGAAAGGTGTCTTCTGAGAATTCCCAATCATGAGACTGCACTTGGGCACCTAATTTCTTAAATAAAAGCAGTTGGGCGCCTGGGTGGCTCAATTGGTTGAGCGACTGCCTTCGGCTCAGGTCATGATCCCGGACTTCCAGGATCGAGTCCCACATCGGGCTCCCAGCTCTTTGGAGAGTCTGCTTCTCCCTCTGATCTTCTCCTCTCTCATGCTCTCTCTCACTCATTCTCTCTCAAATAAATAAACAAAATTAAAAAAAAAAAAAAAAAAAAAAGGCAGCATCTTAAAAAAAAAAAAAAGTAGCAACTAAATATGAAAGAAACTATCAAAAAAGAAAGGGGCTGAGAGACATTGAAGAGAGTGGGCCTCTGTGTACATGGGTCAGCTCTACAAGAAGAGAGCAGACATGATTTAGAACTTCCCAGAAATGGCTGACACCTGGTACTCAGAAGCCAAATGAATCCCAAGCAAATTCACATTGCCGGTAAAATAGAAGACACAGAGATGCTCCTAGAAAGCAGCCAAAGGGCAAGGAAAGATTAAAAGCAATCTTTCTGCTAAAGAAATGAATTCAACAGCAAATTTCTCAACTACAACAATGGAAAAGTGTGGGGTAAGTTCCTTTGGGTGTAGTATTCTGTCATTCAAGAATGAGTGTGGATGGGGAAAGACAGTCTCTTTAGCAGAGTGCTGGAAAAACTATCCACAAGCAAAAGAATGAAGTTGGAACCTTAAGAATGAATCTGAGTGCTAAAACTATAAAACTCTTAGATAAAAACAGCAAATCTTCATGACTCCAGAAGTACAGGCAACAAAAGATAAATTTGGCTTTAGTAAAATGGAAAATTTTTATGTATCAAAGAATACTATGAAGAAAGTGGAATGACAACCCACCAAATGGGAAAATTGCTTGCAAATTACATATCTAATAAAGGGTTAACATCTAGACAATAAAGAACTCCTATAATCCCACAACAAAAATAATCCAATTAAAAAAGGAGCATGGAGCCAAACAGACATTTCCATATACACCAATGTTCAGTAAGCGTATCCTCAACATCACTAGCCATCTGGGAGCTGCAAATCAAAACCACAAGATACCACTTCACACCCATTAGGATGCCTGTTAATGAAATAAAACCACCAAAACCCAAAACCCAAAGTTTGCAAAGATGTGGGGAAACTAGAACCCTTGTGCCTCACTGGTGGGAATGTAAAATGGCACGGCTGCTGTGGTCTGGCAGTTCACCTCAAAGAAAGTTAAACATCCATCCAGTTACCATATAACTAAAAAATTCCACTCCTAGGTATATACCCCCAAAGAAATGAAAGCAGGGAGTAAACAGATTACCTGTATGCCAGTATTCATAGTGGCATTATCCACAGTACTCAAATGTGGAAGCCACCCAAGTCCTCAGCAATAGATGAATGGAGGGATGTCCGGGTGACTCAAGTGATTGAGCGTCTGCTTTTGGCTTGGGTCATGATCCCAGAGTCCCAGGGTCGACCCTTTCTGCTCAGTAGGGAGTCTGCTTCTCCCTCCCCACTCTTGTGCTCTCTCAAATAAATCAATAAAATGGTATATACATACAATGGAGTATTATTTAGCCATAAAAGAGGAATAAAGTTTTCATGTATAAACTCTTCATGTTTAAAAACACAAAAATAGGGGTGCCTGGCTGGCTCAGTTGGTGGAATGTGCAACTTGATCTCAAAATTGTGATTTTTGAGCTCCACGCTGAGTGTAGGGTTTACTTAAAAAACAAAACCATAAACATCTAAGTAACCCACTGGTCAAAGGAATCACAGTGGCAGTTGGAAATATTACATGTCCTAACTTGTTAGATATGGCTAAAGTAGTACTTAAAGAGATCCAGAGGTTTCAAAACATGTTTTCAGAGGCTGAAAAAAATAAGTATCCAGTTTAAGACATTAGTGAAGGAACAATACAATGAACCCCAAAAGAGCAGAAATTTAATAAATACACCAAAATATAATAGAGGATTAATAAAATTAATAAACCCTGCCAGGCTGATCAAAATAAAAAGGAAACAGGTGCAAACAAATAAAGATTTTAAAGTAATCTCTACACTCAACATAGTGCTTGAACTCATGACCTCAAGATCAAGAGTTGTGTACTCCACCAACTGAGCCAGCCGGGTGCCCCTGGAAAAGACTTTTTAAAAGATTTTATTTATGTATTTGACAGAGGGTGCACAAGCAGAACTGCAAAGGGAGCAGCAGACTCCCAGCTGATGAGCAGGGAGCCCAATGTGGGGCTTGATCCCAGGACCCTGGGATCATGACCAGAGCCAAAGGCAGAGGCTTGACCAGCTAAGCCACCCAGGTACCCCTGGAAAAGATCTTTTTTTAAAAGTTCTACAAAATGGAGGCTCTCTGCTCAGCAGGGAGCCTGCTTCCTCCTCTCTCTCTGCCTGTCTCAGCCTACTTGTGATCTCTGTCAAATAAATAAAATCTTAAAAAAAAATAAAAAGTTCTACAGAATGGTAAAATAAAAGGTAATTTTGTTGTTAAAATGCATATGAATAGAGGAAACATCTCAAACTCATTTTATGAAGCTGGATAACATTAATACTAAAATAGGACAAGTATGAGAAAGGAAAATTACCAGCCAACTCTCATGAACAAAGGCAAAAGTATTAAGTCAGATATTATCAAATCAAGACCACCAACATACTAATATGATAATATGTCCTTATTAGCTTGGGTTTATCCTGGTAACATAAGACTGATCCAACATTAGAAAATTCTAATGACTTCTGTTTCTGGCCATAAAAAACCAGTTAGTAGGAGACAAACCGAACCCTCCCACTAAAAACAAAGGAAAAAACAAATCCCCAGAAAATCTCAAAGCATTAATAAATTACCAGAGCAACCAGAATCCGAGAGGCTAAGATGCCAGCAAGAAGGAAACAGTATTCAGGCAAGTCTGATACTCTGCACTGCTTGTACCCTATGGCTTCTCCCAATTTATGAACAGC